ACTATATTTAAAATAAAATAATTAAATTTGAAATAGTTGTCTAGATAAATATTTTATTTAGAGATTTCTAGCATTTGTATGTTTTTTGTATTTTTTTCTTGAGTTTAATAAGTTTAATAAATAGTAAGGTGGGTCTAATAAATTATTATAATTAAATATTAATAATATAATAAATGCAACATTTTTGGCTATAATTGAATTAACCTACTTTAATATCAACAGTAAAATGAATTAATTCAAATAGCTATTTTATTAAAAAAATTAATGCACTTAGTTATATAGATGGTCTTGGCTCAAATTTTTTTTTCATATGCAATTCTACATCATTGAATTACAATTTAACATATCCATTGGCCATTGCCTACCTTTTTATGAACTATTATTTATTACTATGTATATTTTATTAAAGACTATTAAAAATATATAAAAAAATAAAAATATTATCAGTAGTTAAATAATATAACTTAGTATACAATAATAAAACTTAACATGCAATTTTATGGTAAGCCATAACTAGTATAGCCCACAAAACCTTGCCTATCATACATCAGATCATCCTTTTAATGTAGGGCACTCATTATTTCAAGAACTATTGATGTTTTGAATATATTTTTAAAAATCATTTAATAAGTTATATTCTGATTCGAAATATAAAATTTAAAATATATATTTTCAAAAACGTTAGTGCTTTTTGAAATAATGAGTGTTTTACATTTAATAAATCTCTCGCTATAATACATCCTACTATAATTATTATTCTTTTATCAATAGATTTTGAAAGACACGATGATGATGAATTAGGATTTCGAAAAAATGATATCATTACAATTATTAGCCGTAAAGATGAACATTGTTGGGTTGGAGAATTAAATGGTTTGAGAGGTAAGTTAATTTTAGATAATATATTTTATGAAATTAAAAATATATACAACATATAGGATGGTTTCCTGCAAAGTTTGTCGAACTTTTGGATGAAAGAAGTAAACAATATAGTGTAGCCGGAGATGATTCAATATCAGAAACTATTACCGATTTAGTTAGAGGAACTCTTTGTCCAGCTATCAAACAGGTTCTTGAACATGGAATGAAACGACCATCATTTTTGGGTAAATAAATGTTTTGTAGCAATTGTCTTTAAACAAACCTATTAAATGTAATAATTAATTATATTTTATTAAATTATAATATTTATGTTAAACTTAAAAAAAAAAATTTATCTCTATTTTTCCACAAAATAAATAAATTCAACAATTTAAATTTATTTTAAAATAGTTTTATACTTTTTAAACATTTTTCTTTTAATATAATTATATTATATGTGTGTTAATTGTTATCAAATTATAAATATAAATTTACTTAGGTGGTCCTTGTCATCCGTGGTTATTTATTGAAGAAGCAGCAATGACCGAAGTTGAAAGAGATTATAGTTCCGTTTATAGTAGATTAATGTTATGTAAAACATATAGATTAGATGAAGATGGCAAAGTGTTAACTCCCGAAGAAGTAAATATATATTTTATTTTTTTAAGTACAATTTTAAAGGCATATAAATAATGTTTGGATTAATAACCTTTATTTTTAACATAATTATCTAATTAAAAATATTAAATACTTCAAGAAAATAAATTAAATGTTTGTTTTTAAGCTTTTATATAGATGTATCCAATGTATAAACCAAAGTCATGATGCCGCTGGTTGTCAAATGGATGTAAAATTAAGAAGTCTTGTTTGTCTTGGTCTTAATGAACAAGCATTACATTTATGGTTAGAGCTATTGTGTTGTTCCGATCAAGTTGTTAAAAAATGGTGATAACTCTAATAATACAAAATTAAAATTTTTTTAATAACTATTTTATATATTAGGTATCAGCCATGGAGTTTTGTTTGCAGTCCGGGATGGGTGCAAGTAAAATGTGAATTAAGAGTCTTATCACAATTTCCATTTAATTTAAATCCTGATTGGGAACTTCCTCCAAAAAAAGAAAATACTCAGACATTAAAAGCGGGTGTTAGAGATATGCTAGTAAAACATCATTTATTTAGTTGGGATCTTTAAAATAGTATTTAATTCCATTGTATAATAAATACCAAATATAATACATATTTTAAATTCCAAAATATCAATTTTTATTTGTATTCCTCAAGTTTATTAATTTATTAATTATTGTTTTTTCTATTTATTTTACTGAATTATTTATTTGTGTGGCTGTGATTTATTTTATTTTCTAATATTTATCATTATTATGATTACATATAAATATTAATTATTAAATTGTGTTTGTAAATGTTTTAATTTTATATTGTATTAAATGAATACAATATAAATTATGGTATAATTATTTTTGACTGTTCAACTGAATGAAATAGATTAATTGTACAATATTTAACTGTTAAATATACAACCACACTTAAATTCTGATTAAAATTTTTTATATCCTAAATATATTTAAGAAAAGTTATTGGATTATTCTAAAATATATATAAAATGAATAAATTATTTATCGAATTTTTGTGGTATGACTTTTTAGTATGTAAAGATTACATATCTTATTTAGGAACAATAAAAATTATCCAATATTATACTATATTCTTAGAAATAGAGTGTTTTAATGTATTATTTAAAGTAATTTATTATCTGTTGACCTAAGATAAAAATTCCATGATAGCCTGGCCCTCGATATTCTGGCTTGTAGTTTGTGTATGTTGAACAAAATAATACAAAATATTTATACCTTGGAAAACACTAATTGGTTATCCCAAGATTATTTTCCTTTAATATTTAAACTATTTACAAGCAATGACACAAAATTATTTAACAGTCACATACTTACATATCATTTATAAGAAGTATTAAACAAGGTCACAAGAATACATATTATTTTTTTAAATAATATTAAAAAAAAAACAAAAATATTTCCTTTTTCAAATAATTCATTTATTTACATACAACAAAAAAAAAAACCCAACTTAATTTGTTTAACTAAAAATTAGGCAACATTTTTTCTGTTAACAAAATAATATAATAGCTTTAAAACAATGAACAATTAAATTATCACCCTGCGATTGCAATTTTAATTACCTACATTATCCTATGTATTTATTGAAAAGTTTAAAATATATTTTCAAAGAGGCCTTTATTTATAATATTGATATACAATTTATTTTTATGCTGAAACCTTGTATTGGAATCAATGTTTAAATATAATTACATAATAGTAATATACAATTCAAAATATATCACATAAAGGCCAAATTATTAGTTAAATTAAAATTTTTTTTTATTTTTATAATGTGCTCAAGGCACTTTTGAAATTATTTTTTAACAAACATTATTTATCCTATTATTTTAAATCCTAGATGATTAAATGAAGCATATAATTAACTGGATTGAAACCTGGATACCATATTTATCACAGCTTATTATCATCCTCAATTCTCAATAAAAAAACAAAATATAATCAACAAATCCAGATTTCAATCTTAATTTTTTTTTTTTTAATAAATTGAATAACGAATAAAATTTAATTGATTATATTATTATTATATATGACGTATAATTTTTCTAATAACAATAATAAAAAAAAAAAAATCATAGAATTGAGATCTAATTTAACTTAGTTTTTGAAAGTGTGTTTTTTGAATATAAAATATATAAATATGACTGAACATCAAGAATTATTAATTTTGATCAGGTCTTAATTATATTATTTTCTGTTGGTCTGATAACTAAAGTAAATTTTCCATTAAATTTGTGTCCAATATTAAGTTTGTTAAATAAGTATTATTTAATTATTAATATATAAGATTATTAATATTGTATTAGAATAATAAATAAATATAATACTATAAATATTATTAAATTTAGTCTCCATATATCACCATACTACTACATGAACCTTTAAATTTTAAGTTAATAGAACAATTTAATCAAAATGATTAAACATTTTTTTTCTCTCACTATTAAGTCTAATTTTGAATGACTAGCATCTAAATGACGGTAAAAGGCACTTGGATATAACAAAAATAAAATAAACAACTATCATGCAGGTTCATGGAACATTAATAGATGAAAGAAAAAAATTATCACAGTTCACTAATTCCATACATTTATACACTGTAAATAAATATCCAACAACTGAATTTCAAATGTATATCTAATATAGATATACCATATCTATGGTTTCATACTAAAAATAGACAATAATATTCTAATTTTTTTAGCAGGTCCGTATCACAGTAAATTTAACAATGATAACCTTTTACAATGGTCGGTAATAATTTACATAATATTAATTTATCACAGAAGTAAAAAAATAATAATAAGTTATTGTTTATACCATCAACAAACCATATGGAGACATTATAATGAGCCTACTGTGCTGTTCTCCACAAAAAAAATTACATCAATAGGCTATAATAGTTATGTAAACAATATTGGATTAAACATTGGTAACTTGATATATCAACTTTGTATATACAACTAAGTATATCAATTCATGTAGTTGATACATCATTGATAATCTATTTTATAATCTAAAGGTATAATATTATATAATATTTATAAATAACATTGAAAATAAATACAAATAAACATATTTATGATGTGAAAATGGTCAAAAAAGCAGAATTATAGCTTGTTATATCAATCTAAATAGTAAATTGCATTTAGTAAAAATCTAAATGTATTTTTAACATGATAAATATTTAATTTATTTTTGAAATTGTATACTTTTAAGCTAGGGGATAGATATTTATAGATAGTTATTCAACTATATTTAAAATAGTTTATAATATAATATAAAGATAAAATGATAAATATCTTAAGAGTTTAATTAAGACTACTCCAAGTCTATTAGTACTATTTTTCCAACTGAACATTTTTTACTATTGACTAATATATTATGTTTGTAATTTACTTGTGGTATGGTTGAATATTTTCAAAGTAAGTTTATACATTATATTTAAAATGGACCATCATACATTATTTTTCTATTATCACTTCAACAACAGCTTATAAATTTTAACAATATATAACAATAACAATCAAACACTCACACAATAAAAATAACAGGTCAACGATTAATATGGATATAACTAGAAGAAAAATTAACTAAAGGGTAACAACAATAAATTAAATAATAACAATAAATGTATCATGCGTATTTTTTTGGGTCAAGTTGATGGAAGCTTGTTTACATTGTGTGAAGAATCTACTGTAGATGAATTATCCGCAGTTGTATTATTATTGTTGGGACGTGGATGTCTATAAGATACATGTTTCCTTAATGCATCCCTGGATCGAGAAACATGACTACACACTGAACAAGCATACTGTGCATTTTGGTGGGTTTCCATATGAACGCGCAAATTGTAATGATTACTAAGCTGTTTACCGCAAATGAAACACATTGTATAAAGCTTGGATACTGGTGTTCGCGATTTATTATTATCTGACTGTGAACCCTGTACAACTGGACCTATAAATCGTACATAGTTTAATAGTGGAGTAGTAGATACAATAAAACTATTTGTATTAATAAACATTATAATATCAGGTGAATGTTAGATAAATATAAAATTTTAAAAATATACCATAACTTTTAATTGGTATAAGCATAATAAAGAATTTAAATACTAATAAGTAAAATAATATTAAACTTAGGTTAATGCTAGAAATTGAATATTACTTAATACTAATTCATAATTAGTCTTAGACTAACTCTTATGCTTTTAAGACTTAACATATTACACTGCTTATTAAAATAATATGATACATAAAGCTTATTTATATAACATAACAAATATTTTTGCTTTTTTAATTACTCCACTTAAGGTCCATTAATAAAATGTACCCTAGGGCCTAGACAGATAACCTATTTGCAAAAGTATTATGTAAAAGTATACCAATTTAACAAAATAAAAATTATTGTTAGAAATGTTATCATGGCTATTTAGTACATTATTAAGTTACTCCTATTATATTTTATAAAATACTTAAAAATTATTAAGTATTCCAACAGTCATACAATTGTATTAAATCACATTAGTTAATATAAAATGATTATTTTAATTTCATAATATTAATAATTAATAAAAAATGCATACCTTGAACTAAATCTGTAGGTGTTGGAGCTTCTTCACCATAAGATACATTTATTTCTGATGTGGACGGTTTATGGTCAACAGTAGTTGCTAAGTTTACAGTATCATCTTGATTATCATTTTCTGGAACACGCTTACTTAGATCTTGAGCAACATCTAGATCAGCAAAAACTTCAGTTTCACTCATTGTTGGTCTTGAAATCACTCTATTAAAGGATTCTGATTCTTCAACTCGCGGCCTTTTCCATTTTGATGATTTCTCAAATGTGCCAGATGTATAACCAGGTACCTGATAAATAGTTTTAAAATTTTTCTAAAATATTAACTTAAATGTAATTAAAAATTATTATGAATTGCACTGGCATTGGTGTAAGAATTCATTACTATTATAGATTTAATAAAATATTATTATTTAAAATAATGTTATTACAGTAAAACCTCGATTATTCATTAACCCACCATCATAATGGTATTGTAAATTATGAACAGAAATTTGCATGCTCATATAATGAGTATTTTATGAACATTTAGAAAAATAAAAAAATATATCTATGAAAAAAATCTCAGGATTTATACAAATAAACTAAAATAGCTATTTTTTTAATTTATGTTATTTAATCAGCATAATACACATTAAAACATACAATATTAAAATTAATATAGGTAAAACAAATATAAAATATATGAAAATAATTTTTTTATTTTATCCGTCACTCTGTTGGTCCCTTTTATGACAGTTAATCAAGGTTTTACTGTAGATTGTAAATTTTGAAGATTATTTTTTACAAAAATCTAACAATTAATAAATAATCATTTAATATGCATCATATTTATATGATCTGAATAAATAAAAAACATTTTATTTTATATATATATATTAGATAATAAAATGAAAAATAATTTTAAAAAAAATGTAATTATACTTAGCATCTAAAAATTAAAACTATCCCTTTTAAATTTTATTTCCATATTTTTAGTTTTCAAAAATTGAATTTTAATATTACAGTAAATAATAATAACAAGAGTTGTGAAAATTAATAAGGTATTCAAGCTATACAATTTAAAACTTTAAAAAATTAATACCTACATTAGAAAACTCAGCCAAGCCTTTAATGTGTAATGTATCAGCCATCGAAAGCATGCTAGCTAGTTGATGTTCATAAACATTTACTTCACCGCTGTACATAAATGTGACTAGAGCACAGAGATCAGTAAATTCAACGCCAGGCAAAACTATCACAGGATGATGACTTGCTCCTAATTCCTTTAACAATAATAATCAGATTTTCAAATTAATTCATATATATATATAAGTATAATACCATTATATAAATTAAGAAGAATATTATATTTACTTAAATTAGACTAAAAATTATTAACTCTATAAAATGTTATTTAATAATTCTTAAATATAAAATAAAATAATATGGTCTAAATGATAAAATTTAGAATATGGAACTTAAAAGTAATATATTACAACAACAAAAAAAACTTTGCAATTTTAGTCTTGACATTGCAATATTGAAATAAAAAGATTTACAAATCAAACTATAAGTCATTTAGTTCAGTTAAAATATTTAAAATTTTCTAGCAGTTAATTTTGAAAAAACAGTTTGTAACATCACTAATAATACTGCAAAAACTTTATATATTTTATGATACAAAAATAACCTAATATTTCTATTAAATAATAAGATCTGTAATAATCTCTTATTTTAAATTATTATGTGTAAAAAAACTGTGTAGTATATATATATAATATATATGAAATAATTAAAATATATTTATAAGTAGAGGTAACATAAATTTAGAAATAAAATATTATAAATTAATTAACAATTTGATTGAGTCTTAGTTTTATAAAAAAATAAAATATTTCTTACTTTTGTGAGAGCTTTAAATAATTGTTTGAAATAATCACTACATGCAGACAAAACAACACGATGTGCTTTAAGTGTTCTCAAACCAGCACATAATGTAACATCAGTCAGATCATCATGGTTTAAAAGCTGAGGCAGAGTTGACATAAGTGAACTTTGATAATTATGCCATCTGAGACAGAACTGTTGCGACTCCTCAGCACTCATTCTGTGAATATAGTTTTTACGTAACTGAAAATAATTTTTTTATTTTAACAATTTTATATTACACAAATACAACAGTTATTTTACTATTATTTTTTTTTTTTAATTATATTAAAAAAAGTTCAATATGACATTGGTTAGTTTCCAGAAGTGTATAAATGTATTTATAATTTATCAAATTGATTAACCTTTATCTACTTTTTATGTTTATCTTGATAGACTTATGATTTTATTTTATTTAGTTATTATTTAAACAAATATTTTTAAACTTTAGGTTATTTGAATTTAATTTAATCTAACATTAAAATTTTCTTTTAAGTCTTTTCAATATTCACAAAACATAAGCATTTGACTTTTCAATAGTATATTTAAAAATGGTTAAATTAATATTTTAACTATATATATATATAATACAAACATATAATATTATTTTTGTAATCCAGAGTTAAAAATATTTAAATAGTAATAGTATAAAAAAAAAAAAAAATTGGTCTACCAAGATAAACATACAAAACAGATAAAAGGTAATAAATTTGATAAGTTCAAATCAACATAACATAATACACTTCTGGAATCTAACCAATGCCATATTGAAACAACTTCAATACAATTAATTCATCTCATTATAGAAGAAAAAACTATTTTAAAGATTAAAATAATTAAACAAAACACAGATAAAATCAATTGAACTGAAAACCTTGAACACTACTATCTATGCACAGTATGGTATTAATTTTCTATTTTATATTCACTTGTATATCAATATTTAAACCTTCTTTAATAATGTGCTAAATACTAATATTATTTAACATATTTATAAGTAGATATAACAGTATTAAAATATGTAAGGTATAACTTACAAATAATAAGATATATATACTAAAAAATGTATCGATATTAAAATTTATAAATCTAATTTAAAGAATGTGTTCACAACTATAACACTATTTCTATGATTCTATTTACAACTACTAACATGGAATATGTCTTAGTATGTCATGTGACATAAATCACTATTTTATAGGGTAAGTGTGGTAATTAGAAAAAAATATAGGTAAATAAGACTAGGATAAAAAATCTTGAAAGTCATTGAAAAAATTATTTAATGTATAATATTATTGATATTATACTAAAAAAATAATAATAATAATTTTACAAATATTTTGAATTAAATGTAATAATAACATACCTACACATTGATAAATAAATCACTGAACTATTAATATTATTAATTAATTTTATATATTGTATCAGATGGGTACACTAAAAAAATATATTTCTAACTTTTTAAAACAAATCAATCAAAACAATATACTTAATAAATAATAAAGAAAATTCAAATTCAAAATATAAGAAGGAGGTATTTTAAATCTAAATGAAACGATGAATATAAATATTTTACTATGATGTGTTTTTTTAAAATATTTTACAGCTTGTCATCACCTTATGAAGCAGTAAAAAAACTTCAATCAATATCAATCTTATCTAGTAAGAAATTTAATCTAGTTGATAATTTGATTAGTCATAGGAAAAAATGCCTAGTTCTTTTCTTAATAATTAGGAAAAAAAATCATAGTAAAATGGTAATATTTATAAAAATATTGATTTCTTATTTTGTAGAATTTAAAAAATAAAAAACTGTACAGTATATATACTTGAAATTACCACAACATTTTTATTAACATTTTGTATACACTTAATAATTGCAAGAAGAGGTTTTGAGTGTGTCTGGGCACCTCCTGACATATAATTGAGGATCTAAGTCTCAGAATAAAAGGCCATATTTTATCTAAATAAAATGTCATTTTTGTAAAATATTGTGTATAAAAAAGTCATGTTCCATATTAATTAAAAAAAAATATAACATGCAATATTTTTTTATTTACATGTCAAAACCTATAATCATGTTATAGCAGGTAAAAACTAAAAACTAAAATATAATTGAGTAAGTCATTGAGTTAAATTTTATACGATTTGGAAAATTAACGTATTTGATATTAATTATAAAAATAAAAGTATTATGACCACTTTATGAAATTTACAAACACTGTACCAATGTATTTATATTTATTTTAAATTAAAATCAGATCTTAAAAATAACAGGAAAAAATTATAAAGAAACTGAGTTGAAAAAATAATCTTTTAATACCTAGATATATTTTACCTAAAAACATAAATATACTATTAAAACTAGTCAACTTTTGTAAAATTTTAAAAACAAAAAAAAAAAAAAAATAATTGAAATCCAAATTAAATTTTTTTTAAATTTAAATTTTTGATTCTTGACTTTTATCCTGTTGATTAATTTAGAATTTATACACCAATAGTTTTGAGTCATAAAAAATTATATTTTAATTGCAATAATTACCACTTAAGTTGCCATTAATTAATTTTTCTACTAAATTACTGTATATTTATAAATTTGGATTAATAAAACATTGATTTAATTCTAATTAAGTTTATTATAATACCTATAAACTAAGATTTTTTTCTTGTCATATTTTATTATTTAAACAAAATATAAATAGGGTAAAAAATCATTATATATACATCCAAGTAAAATTAAAATAAAATAATTAATAGTAATTAAAAAGTAAATAAATTCATATATTAATTTAGATTTATTTATTAATGAATTTAATGATTTAAGTAAAATATCATTATAAATATAAATTTGTAATTTTTGTACTTTATTGTATTTAAATATTATAATAATAAAAACGAAGTAATATACATTTAGTTAATTGGCTAATTGAAAAAGAGTCCAGACTAAGAAAATAGTTAAAAATATTGTAGACTCCTTTGAATAGGCATACGCACTCATGGATATAATTCGGTATTTAAATAACAAAATAAATTGTTATGTATTATGGCATTATAGAAAAAAAGAATAAGTACTTTTTATAATTTAAATAAATGATATTTATTTATAACCTATGTACATAATCGGTAAAAAATGTTTTTTAAGATATTTCAGAAATTGTAATTTATAGTAGTTGAAATAAACAGATATGACATATGACATAGCTATTTAATAAATTTGATTAATTATAAATTTGATGACAAATACTTTAAGAACAATTGGTAAACAGTAAAGCACTTTTACAATTATCAATTTATTTTTTATAACAAAAATGAATTTATAACAAACAAATTCATTTTTGTTTAGTAATGAAATTATTTCAAACAGAAATAAATAGTAAATATAATTTAATACAAATACTTAACATAGGTAAGCATGAAAAAAATTCTTACCTTGATTGAAATATTTTAAAATAAAGATTATAAACAAAAACAAAGAAATTAAAATATCGTATGACAAAAGAATCAAGATTATGAGGACCCAGAAAATTTGAATTTGATCCAGCCCAATCTAAATTTATAATTCTGGATATGCTGGAAATAGGATTTTTGGACATCAGCCAATCAGAACAAATACTTTATCTTGACCACGGAAATGTTGAATTTTATAACTGGTTCATATTTTACTCATGAATCATCTTACCTTTTATTCCAACTGATGGACTTTACTAGTTTTATTCGCAAAACTCAATATTTAATTTAGATACAAAGTATAAACAAAAACTTACTTTTTTGGAAAATTAAAACAAATCTTCAATCAAATTTTACAAGCACTAGCACAATTTTTTTTTTATTTTTTACAATTTTTTTTTTCAAGTGCACTTGGAGTTTTTGATAAGGTTAAAGAAAAACACGTCACGTGATAAAAAAACAGCTGCTTTTTCATGTATATACATAATTGCATTTCATTGCGAAAATGGCGGGAAGACGTAATTAGAACATTTAGATAAAAATGTATTTATTATAATTACTAAAAATAAAATTATTATTATATTAATCTTATTTTATATTTTATTAATCTGTGCTAAAACTTTTTCAATAATTAATTTTACCAAATATCCTATGTATGGAAGATTTTCCGACTTTTAATATTCATGACACATAATTTTTTGTATAGTCCAAGTTTTGACCCTCACTTACAAAAATTTCAATTGTTTTTATTTAATTTTTTAGAAATCATAATTTAATATTTTTTCATAAAAATAATAAACCCATTACAGTTATACATCAAATATTGCTGAAAATATATTTAATTTTATAATATTTACAAGAAAAACTCTGCAAATCATAAATTATATCCTACACGGCTACACATCTACTTGAGTGCCTATCTATTATTAGTCACAATTAAGTAATTATACATAATACACTTGTAAAATCAATTTATTTATCAATCTTTTAGATCATAAAAAAGCTTAATTTTCAACTTGAGAACTGAGAAGTGGTTTTTGGTACCTAACAAATTAGATCTATAATAAGTACATTTACTCAAAAGTAAACATTTCCTGGATAGTGGATAGTAAAAATATTTTTTCATCAATCAAAGAAAATATTCGTGGAAACGTATATTATGAATTTCATTATAATTTTCAAAATGTGTTGATTCATTTTAAGGTATTATTTATTCATATTATGAAATTATTCATATTGTTTTATGGTGTTAACATTATTTAACTGAAAACTTAAAAATTAATACTTAACAATAATATAATTACTATAGTACTACCTATAGCAGTATTGGTATAAATATACATATATATTATTCTAATAATATAATTAATACAAATATACAATATTTTAGGAAAAAGTTTTATCAACCTAGCGTAATATCAATAATAAATTAAAAAACATTAGGTTATAGCTATTATATTATAATATTAAAAACACACCACGAAATGTATTTAGTGATTTAAACAGATCGTCTCGCTCAGAATCGTTTTTCATATGTAATAATAAATCAATAATCATTGAATTCAAATTCAACACGTCTATTATTATTCAAATATGTTAGTTCAATTCCATAAGTACATAGATAGGTACCTATAATATTTATTATTTAATTATTATAACATACAGCCAAAGTGGAACCGGTCTAAATGGCAGTGGATCTCATGTGAGAATGATGCACAGAACGACAAAAGCTGCGTGTTTTTTCACTAAATATAATGTGTAGGTATACGTATAATTAGGTATTACCGTATTTTATAATTTTAATCATGACAAAAAATTTGTTTAATAACCTACTTACAAATAAACCGGATTGGTTATGACAGAATATATTTAACAAAAACTCTACGAACGAGGTACACTTAAACCAATTTAAATCATAAATTAAAAACTATATAGGTAGGTAATTAAATAGAAACCCTCAAAGTTGCATCCAATTCACCAAATTGCCAAGCCAGTCTTATCCAAACGTGTATATGGAATAAAAAATAAAATGAATTGAGATACAAATAAATTTGAATGTTTGAAAAATATTGGTTTTTTTTTACATGAGTTGTATAATTATAATAAAGTTGTTATATCAAAAAAAAACTAGAAAAGAATTACATTTTTCAAAATTCATAATTACCTCAATCAGTGGTGTATTTTCAATAATTTCTTGAGAGGGGTAATTTTTTTAAAAATCATCTATTAAACTTTATCATATTAAATATATAGACTCTACATCGTTCAATTATCTAAAAATCCGTAATAAAATATTAAATTAACACGTTCAATACCGCGGCCTATTTTCCGTGCTGCTAACGAGTCGCCGTAATAAATTTTCGCTCAGTCGACTAAGTGTCGACATCAGTCACCGGCGCTCTACTATTGTTTTTTATGGATTGTAGACAATATTTTTATGATTTGTTTATCTAAAACTCTGTACACACATATAGTGGTTAGGTATTTTCTTATAATTTATAAATAATATTTTATTTAAAAACTACGACGTGTTGGACTGTTAATGCATATATAGATACATGTTTTTTTTATTCTGAGGGAGTTGAACCCATGGACTCTCCTTCCCCCGTAAATACATCATTGACCTCAATAACACGTTAAGTATTTATTTTTTTTTATTTTGAATGTTTTAAATTCTGAATGGATCGATAAATAAATTTTTGAACAAACTACAATGATTATGTGCCCTTTTTCTTTTGGTGCTGCTCTCATATGTGGACTACAAATGCATGCAGTCTACCATCATAAATGTAGACCGCATATAATCATAGCAGAAAAAAATACTTAATGATGATCAACCCCCTTCATCGAAAAACAGTGAAAATCATGGACAAAGAGTAGATGGACCTTGGATATTTGGTCTAAAAAAAGGTTCTAACTGCCAATGTTTTTATGTACTTCGAAAAAATAAAAATACATTACTTCCAATTATACAGCGAGAACGTGAAGTTGGCTCTGTTATTTACTCTGATGAGTGAACGGCTTGTAAATGTTTTTAATGGTAGTGGATATATTCATAAAGCGGTCAACCAATAGTAAAACTACGTGGATCCTTCGAAGGAGGTTCACATAATATCACACTCAAAGCATAGAGAGAACATGGCTGGATGCAAAGACAAAGATTATGAAAACAATGAGAGGTATAACTAAAAAACTACTTCAATCCCATCTCGACCTCTAATTTTGGAAGGTTGCTTGCAAATATGAACCTGCTATATTTGTAGCATTTCTGTGGGATATTAAAACAGTTTATTGCTAAAATTATTATTTATTATTTTTATATTTATTTTTTGACAATGTGGTTTTTATCACATCATTATTGACAGTTTATTTTACATTATTATTATTTTTTATATTAAAGTTTTTCATTTATTTCATGTCAATATATTATTATTATTACATTATAGTTTTCAAATTTAAGCTAATAAACACACATTATAATTATGAAAATATAAACTTGGCGTATAACAATAAATCTACATCTTACAAGGTAGACCGCATATGTAAGTAGAAACATGACGTTAGTCCACATGTGAGAGCAGCATCCCCTTTTCGTAAGTGAATTTTATAAATTAATAAAATTCTTCAGTCCACTATAATTTTAGAGTAGATTTAAGAAGTAAATTGCATATAGCTGATATTGTGGGTGGAAGGTCTATAGTAAAAAGTATGCCATAACTATCAAAATAATCGAGAAAAATATAAAATCAATAAAAACAATTAAAGTTAAACAAAAAATTATTATTATTATTATTATTTTTTTTAATTAAAAAATATTTGGCTCTTTTTGTGTTATTTATAGATAGGTACTTAAAGCTGCTTACTTGTTAAATACAAATTTTATTTTTATTTGTGAGCAAAAACATTTAAAAATTGAATAAAATGTTCCACATAAATTTTTCTTACAGTAAATAAAAAATAGAAAAATAGAAAAAAATAAATGCATTATTAAATAATATATATTTTAATATTTATAATATACTTAGCTGATAACATGTGACTCCATAATCAAAGTCAATGCCCCCCCCCCTTTATTCACTATCTCAAAGACCACTATTGAATATTTATATTTTGTAAATTGTATATTATTTCCTTACATAATTTTTTTTTTTTTTTTATTATTATTAATATTAATTAATTGTGAATTTAGATAAACAGGTCATAACATTATTGCATTTTTAATCTTTTTTTTTTTGTTGGCTTGGAGTTACTTATGAGCATTGAAAGATAATAATGCATTAGAATGGAAAAACAGTCGGTTATTGAAGTACTTGTAGAAGAATTTAGTTAGAGACAATGAGCATTTTTAAGCCATAGAGTAGGCCATAGCTGTAGGGAATAACTTAAGACATATAATAGAGCTTTTAAAATAATAAAAACTAGTAAGATATTTGCATCATACGTCAGATACGATTTAATAAGTTTTTTCAATACTTTTAAGAAAACTGTATTATAAGGAGACTGATTAAGCTGTACAAGAAAAGGAAGTTGATGGGTTTTAAGTTTTAATATGAAGCTGATAGTAGAATATTAACATAAAATAAGGAATCTAGTCGTAATGTTGAATATTTAAATAGAGAACATATTGGTTGTACAAGGTAGATATTTGATTACTTAAGCAGTAAGATTTTGTAAGGAATTTTTCAACAATCAGAATTTATTTATAAATATGAAAAATAAAAATAGTTTTCAAAATTATATTATAATTAGATAATCTAACAATAAACAGGTCTTTTATCAATGGTTATTTTAAAAGTATTTTTACAGTCTTTAAAACTAAGTAATAATAATAAATATTAATACTTAAATAGTTAAATATAAATTATTATCATATTTATTAAAAATTAAATAATTTAGGTAACTTATATAATATTTAATTAATTTTTAAGTTAATTAACAATAATATTTTAACACAAGAAATTATATACATATATACTATCATTAGTTTTTTAATACTTTAATAGCACTACTTTTTCTATTATATAGTTCAAATTCATAAGTGCTATCAGTTAATATAGGATCTGAATTTGAATCAAGAGTACTCAATGGTAGTCTAGCTCTAATACCAAATGTAGTTGGGCGTAATGATGGATTTGGTGATAACATTAAGCACAACAAATCATACTAAAAAAAAAAAATCAATGATAAATATTTTTAGTTGGTAAATACATTTTTAATTTTATTTTATAGGTATTCACTTACTTCATTTTTAAAATTTTTCAAAAACTGAGGAGGAAATATATAATTTCTAAGTTGAGTTAATGTTTGGTACCTTTCCATTTCAGTAGTAAAAGGATTGAGCAATTCAAAAAATATAACTCCAAGAGAATATATATCTACTTTATAATTATATGACTTCCCAGATATCTGTAATATATTTTTTTTTCAACAAAATTAGGTATTCTTAAATTTCTTATAATATATTATTTACCTGTTCTGGACTCATATACAATTGTGTACCAACACGATCAGTGTGTTGTTCATTTAACCATTTTTTTTTATTATCATGTATAGTCATCCCTTCATCAGATTCTATCATTTCTGTAACTAAACCAAAATCACCAATTTTGATTTGGCCATCTAATGAAAAGAATATATTTGAAGGCTAAAATAAAATAAATTATAATTAATTAATAAATAAATAAATAAACACATTATAACATTATACAGATTAAAGTTATAAAATAATATATATTTTTGATTTTGACCACCATACTAAAATAAAATATTTAACTAAACAAATGTCTTAAATTTGAAGTCCAAAAAGAGATAAACTAAAAATACTTCAAAATAGATATAAATATAAAAAGATTAAATATGGTAAGAAGGTAATTGCATTAAAATGATTTATTTAGTTAAATTAATTTTGATTTATTTAATTGAAAAAATGCGATTTCTAAATAGTCAAATATTCCTACAAAAAAAAAATAAATAAATAAATAAATGAATAAATGAATCTTAAATTGTTTACAATCCCCAATTTCATGTAAAATTATACTATTATTTAATAGGAAATAATTTTATAAATTTTATAAATTAAGCAAAATGTAATAAATAATAATTATTATAATTTATATGTAATAATTGTTCATACTTTTAAATCTCTATGTATTAATCCTTGCAAATGAACATATTCAACAGCTTGTATAATTTGACTAAAAATATTTAAAATATACTTCATATCTCTATTTTTAGTATTATCTTTCAACCATTCTCTTAAACTATTTTTATGGCAAAGTTGCATTTGTATGTATAAGTAATGTCTAGTTGTCTTTCGTTCACTATGAACATTACTTGTTGTATCACACTCAGATTTATGTCTTCGCCGTTTACTACCTTTAGTTAAGTTGTCTGAACTTATATCTAATATGCAATCTTTTTTATTACTGTCAGTTATTTGACTATCAAAAACAATAAAAGATGAATCACTTTTATCATTATATGATCGTAATGCATGAGGATTATTTAAAATGTCAGATAATTCTTCACTACTTTCTGGAAGCATTATCATTGTTGACAAACTTTTTGCTCGAACATGATGTTTATTTGGACAAAGATTAGTAACTTGTTTTTCACTAGTTATATTACTACTCATATCCATATCACTAGAAAACAAATACAATATTATAATACAAAAATATTATGACTATGTTAATCAAAATGTTAATTTAAAACTATTTAATTAATTAAAAGTATAAGCTAGGCTTTTATACAAATATTTTTTACGTGGTACAAAATGAAAATGACAAGTATTAGGCCTAGGTACTGATAATACTATACAACAATTCATTAATTTTCCTTAAGAAATTTTGGTTTTCATTATTTTTTCGACCTGTGTGCTACAAACAGTATGAACTACAGTCTAGATTTAACTGGTTGCCTAATTGATTAGTATGGTAAGTATTGGTGAGTATAATTTAAAATTTTTTAAAAAAAATATTAATAACCACAAAAAAAAATTCATTACTTACATAGATAAAAAAATCAAACATTTTAAGATAAATACTTTTTTGTTTACTAATTTATTAATACACAGTGAAAAAATTATGAGTAATGAGTATTAATTTTGATATTATTTACCCAGACTTTTGCAACCAATCATCATCAAGTTTTTCTTGCCAGCCACTAGGAGGTTCTTCAAGCCAAGTATTGAAATACCGAACAATGTGTTGATGATCCAACTTTGCTAATGCTTTAACTTCACGAAGTACACGATTTCTAGATTCTTCTCTAATAACATATCAGTTAAATTTAAAAAGGTATTGTAAAGTTTATTAAATATTATAATAATTTGTAATATTCTAGTACTATCATCTTACTGTGATGGTAAAGGTATCCTTTTAATGGCATAGTGGCAGTCATCAATTTTATTTCGAGCCTCAAATACTATTCCAAAACCTCCTTTTCCTAAACAATGGATTGGTTCAAAATCTTGTAAGTATCGTGATTTAAACTCTACTACTGGAGGTAATTGTTTTTGAACAATACTGTTTAATGACAATTCAACGCCAGAATCTTTACAGCAATCAACTTTATTTTCAATCAGTTCTACAATTTTTTCAGCATCTTCATTTTTTTTCTGATATTAAAAATTACACAATTATTCATTTTAAATATAAAAAAAAATCTGTATGTATTTAAAATAAATGGTAATCAAACTTACTGAATGATTGCGAATAAAGGTAATTATTCGAGCTACACGAGATGGAATAAATATATTTATCAAAATGGCTGTTATAACACTTATAAATAATACTTCTTTCCACCAATACCACAGTGAAACAATAATTATTTCAACTGGCATTTCAAGCTCTTCTTCATATTTAATAATACTTTCTTGATTATTTTCAGTTTCATTTTCACTCTCAGTATTAAAACTTTTATATTTCTTTCCATCTGTTATTCTTTTTGTTTTTTTTGGTCCGTTAAGATAATAACCATTACCTAAGAAAAAAAAAAACTTAACATGCTAATGTTATCAAAATCTAAAAATATTACCATTGATGTATTCTGATGCATATAGTACTGATATAGCTGTAGTTTTAGATACATCATCTGTAGTTTGTACAGCTGAAGAACTTTTTGAAATTATTTGACCTTTTAAGTAACAACAATAAAACAGTTAGTATGCATTTTCTTTCTAAATAAATTCTATAATTTCTTCTGTTATTTAGTATAATCAGTAATTTAATTTATATTAATATTTTAATATTAACTACAGCAATAATTATTACTTGTTATATTTTCAAATTATAAGTATTATCAATCCTTCTGATAATTTAAATTTGTTAAATATATTGTAATCGTCTTAAAATTAGATATTATTCATTATACTTGACTAGGTTAGAAATTAAGATGATATTTTTTATTATATTTATTTATAAAATACAACTATATACGTTATAGTAATTATACTTTAAAGTATTTTTGTCATATAAACTATTATTTTGAAATATTAATTTTTTAAATTCAAAGTAAAGATATTTATTGATTTTAAGTTCATTTTTTCAATAAAATACACTATTTTGGCTAGAGTTCTTCAAAATAGAAACATTGTACTTTTTTTTTATTCAATCTTTGCTTATAAACTCTTAAATCATAGTTAACATTCATTGGTATTGACAACAATGATACAATAATAATAATTTTTAAATTACAGCTTAACTTATTCAAAAACATCTTAACATGATATAATACTGGTTAAACCATTGAAAAATTAAAAGGAAGAGACCAAGTCCTCATTCATAACTTTCACTTATTATCCACTAGTAAAATTAAATAATGTTATTCTTACAATCATTTAAGTTAAATATCAAGACTTAACTTTGACAAATAACCTATCGGACCTCTCTTACCTCAAAACGAAAAATAGCAAATATATGACTTTAGAGCTTCAATGCTTTGTCCTCATATTCAATCAAAATTATCAACTTCTTACACTCTTAATAAATTAAACTATGATTAGAACTATGTGGACATACGGTATCCAAGTATAGTTTTCAGTCAAACTCACAAATCTTAGATCACTCCAATATTTTCAGTACATGTGTCTTTGTCATATTGTCTTTGCTCTATGAACACAATGAACAATTACTTCTACAAATACTTCAATAACTAAACTCTAAACTAGCTAAAAAATCACTACTCACTCTTACCAAAAAACTAAAAATCATCAAAATCCTTTCATAACACTTCTTTTCTCTTGTACAAACCTCAACAACCTAAATAAGCGTCTTAAAAGATGCTGGCTTAGAGAGATACATGAAGTTGGCTGCCTAACTTCAAAATTTTAATCCAAGATTTTTCATTAATCAGTAAGTTACATGTATTTTTAAGCATAAATTATTAATTTAAAAATTCAGCTGTTTTCAATCATCATTAAAATTTAATTATAGCTAATTTATGCAAAACCCAGCCTTTTTGTCATTTATAAGTGTTTAACAAAGTCAAAATGTCATTCACAATTTGAAAAATATAGTATGCCGTTCTTCTCTTTATTAACTCTAAAAGGAAGTTAGCCATGATTCATAAAATTTTTTAAACTTTGACTATACTAAAATGTAGTACACAATTTGTAAATACTTTTAAGCACAAATTCAAATTTTATAAGCCATTCCTCATTTAATTACCTCTAAAAAGAAGTAAGTTATACTACATGAAGCTTTCATGTAACTAAATATATACATTAGTACCCATATATATTTATTGGTATTTAAAATAAGAAATTTTAGTGTTAAATATAATTATAGCAAATAGTTATTATTTAAAATGTCAAGTTTAAAAAGAATAAAATTAATCAAATAGGTATGCATTTAAAAATGTATATAATAAAAAAATAAGAATTTAATTTTAATAAATTTTAGAATACAACTATAACCATTTTTTATACAAACACTTACTAGAAACTGGTATTGGTTTCCAAGGAATTCTAGATTTATCTACTTCTTCCTCTTCAAGAAGAAGTGATTGTTGATATGAAGTTGGATTAATTGCAAATACTTTATCACTTTCTTGAATATACAACTGTGTAATATAGAATAAATGTATTACAACAAAGTAACAACATAAGTTATATTACTATATATATATGTTTTAGATTGCATAAAATATAATACATTGATTCATGAGTTATACATTGTTATTTGATGTTAAACTTTTAAAGAGACTGCAACATGAAACTTTAATATATATATATATATATATTTGTACAACTTAATATTAATATCAGAAAATCAATACAATTAAAAATTCATTAAGTTTATATAAATAACTGTACTTGTTTTTTATGCATCCCAAGATAAACTAAAGGATCTATAGAATTCACATTATGATCACTTTTAAATAAATCAATTGATTCCACTTTTCCGTGTTCAAATTTCCAAACATTTACAATGGGGGACTTCGACTAAAAAAATTTTAATTTCAAATAAATATAAATTAATTAAAATAAATGAACAAAATACTTTGTGAGTCCAAATAACTTCTTGAGGCCTGTCAAATGCTACTGCTGTTACAACTCCTTTAGGAATGTTTATTTTAAAATCGAGTTTGACACTAGGATTTGTAGTATGACAATTATTATTTAAATCCATAATTACTTTTATGTCATGTAACCCAACACTAAAATTCCATCTAAAACATTAAAAATAAAATTATTCTATAAAATATCATAAATTAAGAATATATGCTATATTGGTAAACTCACAATTTTAATTTTTTGTATTTAAGTTATAGACATGACATCAAACATAAATCTCAAGTAAAATAAATATTTAATACTTCAGTAGTTTTTTTTTTTGGAAAACTTTAGTTAAGTACAATTTATATACCTATATAAGTAATCATACATAGGTATAAATTTACTTATTCTTTTATTATACAGCAAATATAGTTTTGGGTAGGTATATATCTAAAAATATTTTTACGCCTCTGAGTTTTTAAATATTCATAATTGTATTTGTAAATAAAATTTGTGTTCTACAACATTTTGATTAATTGTTGTACTATACAGACTTCACTGATAAGCAAGGGGCCAATAGAAATTAATTTGAAAAGAAAAAAAATATTTAACTATGATATGTAAAATTGTAATAAATTAGTTTTAATTACAACTAAAACTTTACCTTTCTATTCCAGTACGAGGATCTGATGCTCGAACAGTTTGGGTTTGTCTCTGTAAAATTAAAATATTTCCATCTATGTTTGTGAAACTATTACTTGTAATATTATTACATTGAGCCATGTCACATGTATATAATAATTGACCAGTGTTCATATCAACACCATATGTTTGACTTATCTTTCCACCTTTATTTTTAAACAGAAATTTCTAGTCAAATTAACATATTTATTAAAAATCTTTGAAAAAACATACCTGATATTAATAAATCATCATTGTATCGAAAAGAAGATTTTAATAAAGAATCGACAGTGAATGGTATACGATCAAGATTTTCACCATCAAATTTGTACAAACTGCCACTCAATGATGGAATCATTCGTATCCAATGGCCATAGTTTGATAACTTTAAATAAAAGTATTTTAAATTAATAAAATATTATGTTCAACCATTAATGATTATCATTTTTTAAGTAGAAATTATATAAACCTAACTATATGACATAATATATTGTATTGTTCACTATCTAGTACCTTACACATTTTTACACACATAATAAATCATTTTAGCTCGTTTAATAGCCTAAGTTTTTTTTTTTTTTTACCTCTAGTTGGTCAATACTAGAAGACAACAATGCTCCTGGTTCAGTTGAAAATTCCCAAGCTTCTGTTCCACCGTCAGCAGTATTTAATGCTGTAATTTTTCCATCCAAGGTACTTATGAATATAAATCTGTCATGCATAAAACATTTAGATTAATAAAAATAATGAACTCTGTCTTCATTATTTACTCACTGTTTATTGGCATCACGATTTCCTGGGCAAACTGGTTCATCACAGAGGACAAACAAAGTTTGAACTCCAAAAACTATTAACACTACTTTAATATAATACTTTATTATAATTAAATTCATTGTTAACGAAATTCTTTAAAAAACTCAAGAGACATAATTCAAATAATTATAAAATCTAGTCAATGGCTTAGCTTAATGTGTTTACAAGACATAAATATTATTGATAATAATAATAATAATAATAATAACAGAGAATAAATAATATTATGCAGTAATAAATGATAATATTGCTGATTTACAAACATACAATCATCGAGATAAAAAAAAATATAGATAATTGGAAGACAGTACCCAC